ATGTCAGTAGATGTCTTCTGTATAAATAAAATCTCTTTGGTGTCCTCAGTCATTTTTAAGAGTGTAATGGCGATCTTGTACCAACAAGTTCAAAAGCCACTGTTCTAGGGTACATCTTCTAAAGTGGGGTTGCTCGGTCACATAGGGTATCCATACTTTCAACTTTACTAGATGCGGCTAAATTGCACTCCAAAGTGGCTAAAGCAGAACTTAAAAAAAAAAAATCTGTATGTATTTGCGGTTTTTTTCAGGAAAATCTCAAGTTGTAAAGAATTGTGAGATTCTTATAAACTAGTCCAGTGATACAACAGAGATTTGATCTATGAAATGTTGGTTTAATATCTTTTCTAAACAATAGTAAGAAATGCAAGGTAATATTTATTTTTCATGCATTCAGAGGAAATTTTTCTTGGTCACTGAAAATAGCATTGTAGAGTGTCAACATTAAATATATCGGAAAATTTATTTTTGTTTGTGCCTCATGGGCAGTAGAGGTTAGAAGTTATGCAAATAAACTTTTTTTACCATCAGGGGAATTTCATTGTTCTTAAATACTACCTTCTGCAATTTTTTAAAAACTTAAGCCATGTTCCACTGACACCCAATTTGTAAAAAAAAATAAAAAAATGCTAAGGCATCTGATGTTTAAAAAAAATTCAAAGGGTGTTAGTTTATAGGCCACTTTGTAAGTGACTGAGGTTATTTAGTGTTGTTTTCTGATTGTAGAATATTTAAACTATTCAAAGGTAGCTGCTCTAAAACTTTAACGACACTAGAGTTTGGCAATAAGATGTGGGTAAATATAAAAAATTGAGTTTTACAGTGAAAGAACCAAGATGCAAGAATATTAATTGTCTGTTTCTTCCAAAGATTTTGCATCTGCTCTAGTAAAATGAAATGCAACCACAGTCAGTTGTTACCTGGTATTTATGGGGGAGGGCGTTCGGCGCCCAAGTGTAAATCTTGGTGAAGTTTCTTACTGCCGCTGGGCCACAGCAGAGTGTGCTGTGTGCACTCAGGGGTATGGATGGGATCAGTTGGAAACGGAAGCACAACACAAATTGGGGGCAAATCTGAGCAGTAATAATCCTATTGATGCACCATGCATCACAAAAAATTAATGGAATTTATTTTTTACGTGTTGTTAGGAGATTATCCAGCCCCTGGTGGGTCTAACTGAGGGAGCTGAGCCATCAGTAGAGAAGTTACTTGTGTCACTGTCCAGGCTCCCAGCAGGTCATAGTTTCTAAAATTGTTAATCCAGGTTTACTATGTTTAAATATGGAATTCTGTATGGTGGGTCATTTCAAGGGGAAGATAAACCAAAATTGCTGGTCTTGTCCTTTTGGAGTGCTGACTTAATTTGAACCACTTCAAGCAATAAAAGACTTAGAAATCATCTAATTCAGTTATTTATTTGATAAAATGAGACTTAGAAAGATCCCTTATTCATGCATTTGTTTGGAAATACTTTTTCTTAAGAGATTTTATCTATTTATTTTTAGAGAGAGGAAGGGAAGGAGGAAGAGAGGGAGAGAAACATCAATCGGTAGCCTCCTGCACGCCCCCACCTGGGGACAGGGCTTGCAAACCAGGCACGTGCCCTGACTGGGAAACAAACTGACAGCCTTTCGGGTTACAGGTTGATGTTCAATCCACTGAGCCACACCAGCCAGGCCATGGAAATACTTTTTTAACACTCCCTCTTTGTAGACACAGACTTAATCATAAATAAGTATGGTGAACATGTAATTTATCCCAAACCAGGACAGCTGAGAGTAAAACGGGGTGCTCTTAATAATTATGCTGAGACATCAAACAAAAGTCAAAACTATCATTCTGGGCAAACCTGAATGTAAAGTCACCCTAAGACATAATCCTAACCCTCAGGAGCCCCGTAGCTACTGGGAGGGGAGATGTGTAACCACAAGATGGGGATCATTATGCATTGTGATAAGTGCAAGAGAAATGCTGAGGAGGGCTGCACGCAGCCTAGTGAGGAAAGACCTCTCAGAGAAGGTGGTGCTCCCTCTGGGTATTAAGGGGTGAGTTGCAGTTTATCAGGTAGAGAAAGAGGGAAAGGGAATTCCCAGCAGGAGGAAGAAAACGTGTGAAGACTTAGCACCATTTTGATGCTTTCAGAGCTGCCAGTGGTTTTCTGCGGTCAGTTTGTGGGGGGAGGAGAGGAGGCGCTGACAGGAGCCCAGTGGGGGCCAAGCTCTCAGGGCCTGGCAGGGTGCACTTAGGCAGTGTGGATTTTATGCCTGTAGGCACGAGGGATTTTAAGCAGGGCCATGATCTAGTCAGACTTGTATTTTAGAAGGTTCCCTCTTACAGCAAGTCGGAGGTGAATTGGAGGAGGAGAGAGCAGTCAAGAGGTTTTTGTATTAGTCAGCGATGGTGGCAACAGTTCTTAAGGGACAGTGTTGAAAGCTTTTCAAAAATACTGGCTCATGTAACTAAAAAACTCCACAAGTATGCCTACATCAAGCATGACAACAGAAAGGAGCTCAGACAATGCCATTAGGATCTGAACTCTCTTCTTACCTCAGCTCAGTGTCTTCTGTGACAGGGTCTACCTTGAGAGTGTCAAGCCTGTTATTACAGCTTCAAATCCCATGGGCGAAAAGCCTGCTCTGGAACTCAGAGAATCAACCAGTCAGGCACTGTGGTCAAGGGAATGAGAATCTCTGATTGGCCAGCCTTAGTCTTGTGCTCTACCCCTGAGTTGGGGTGAGGCTCCACACAAATTGCACCAGTGGAGAGAAGAGAAAAAAGTGGATCCAACAGAAAACTCTGAGGCTTTTGCTGAAAAGAGTGGAACCCATATCGGAGAGATGAAGAGCAGGTTTCCACCATGGAGGCAGAGCTGGGTGGACCCCAAGGACGCTGCCCTGACCGATGCCCCTCCAGAGCTGTGGAGAGGGCCACAGAGCAAGGTCCGAGAAGGTCATCCTTAGTCAGGAGGGAGCCTTACCCTCTTTCTCTCAATGTCTGAGGGGAGGAGAGTCCCTTTCTCTCCCCATGAGGTGGAGAGGGAGGGACTAACTATCTTGACTGAGTTGAATCTAAAATCTAAATTTGCTGAGAATATGGATGGAGTTATTTTGCCTCAAAAGGGGAGAGCAGTCTCCAACCTCTCTCTTTGATGCATGTACAGGTATTCCTCCATTTTTTTCTTCCAGGAACCAGGCAGGCCAGGGGGGTGGAGCTGGCCTTGCAGACCCAGACCTCCCTGCACTTAGGATGAGAACAAGGAGGTTCCATTTATACCTAAAAGTTCAGGCTCTACCACCATCTTGTCTTTGGACTCATTTCAAGGTAAATTACAGACATCAGTACACTTTTCCCTAAATATTCCAGTATTTACCTAATATACTATTAACCACAGTTCAATATTTGTTTACAGGTTTTTTTTTCTTTTGAGGTAAAATTTACTTGGGTTGAAATACAGAAATCTTAAGTGTGTGTTCACTGAGTTTTGGCAGATTCATGATCCCATGTCACACATACCTGGAAGACTTTTTATTACCTAAGAGTGGCCAGAAAACCCAATGGCACCTGCCTAAGGTTTTATCCAAGAGGGCAAGGAAGAGCGAGCCCGTTGGAGTGGACTTCAAGGAACAGCGTGGGTGAGAGGTGGCAGGAGGATGCAGCTCTTCTCTGATTACCACACATGAGTCCTGTCTGTTCAAGGCCATGGTTACACTGGACAGTGAAGCCCTTAGAACTCTGAACACAGAGGAAGTGCGCAGTCACTGCGGTCTCCTCTTATTGTTTCTGTTGCTGTTATTGTCACTATCCTTATCTGACTGACAATCCTTTGTCTGTTTTTATTGGCCAAAATGCTGTGGGAGAAGAGTGAATGGTAGAATCTAGACAGCATACCTTATCCTGAACTTCCTAATGACTCTGAGATTGTAACGGAAAAAAAAAAGCAAATAATGAATAATGTGATTTTTGACAGTGAACTGAGGTTGCCTATCCAGCAGCCATTCTTTGCTTTTTCCTTGATGACAAAGCAGAAATGCTCAAAATGCCCAATGTTCACTCCCCAACCTTTCCTAGAGTTGGGCATGTGAACCAATCCAATCAAATAAGACATCACAGAAAGTTGCTCGGGGCTTCTGGGAAAGATTTTCCTCCCTAATAAAAAGAGCTACATGGGAGGAAATGCTCCTTTCCTTCCTAACTTTGAATGTCACCATACGATGATGTTATGATTGGAGCTATGGCGGCTACCTTGCCACCAGCAGGGTAAAGCTAAGAGAATCAAAGAAAGGTCAGGCCACTCCTGAGTGGCTGAATTTGGGGTGCTTACCTCTAGACTTCTGGTTTTGTGAGGTCATAGACTCCTCGTTGTTTCAGTTACTTTTAGTTGGATAGTCCATGCCTTGCAGCCTAGAGCATACTGATACACATGATTTTTAAAACTTGCTGCTAGTTCTCTGACAACAATCTTATTTGTGTCACAAATATCAGACTGCTAACTTTTTAAAAGAAAACTATAATCCACTGTTTTGTTGTATGAGTAAACCATCAGTTCTCAAAAATAGTTAAGGTGGTAGGCCAGGAGTTGTTTTAAAATGACAGTTTCCAATAGTTGTAGTGATTTCAACATTATCATAGTCACCTTCCGGCTCCAAAGAGCTTGGGATGGAAAGTATCTTCTTATTTCTAACTTCTTCTATCAGTATGTAGCTGGTAGCTGACTTGGGGTTTCCTGTGGGGTTAGGGTACACAGAAGGTCCTATGAAATCTTGATACATTTAATTCTATCATCTAGACTTGTAACAACTTTATTGGCAAAAATGTGGCTTTATTGCAGGTGCCCAAATAACACATGCTTGTTTGTTTTTGTCAAAATGTTTGATAGAATTTCCATTAATGTTCAACATCCAATAAATATTAAATGCCTAGCACGTGCCAGGGTTTGTCCTGGATACTGGGAATATAGCAGTGAGCCAGACGAGTGAGTTCCATCCCATATGAGCCCCAGATTAACACAGGAGAATGGAAATGTAACCAGGCAACTGCAGTGCAGACAGAGGAATGTTTTTCACAGGGCCAAGTACAGGGAGTGGTGAGGTTCCAGCGGAGTTTATTCATTCAATTGATCACTTAGTCAACATTTTTATTGAGTATCTACAAAGTGCCTGGGCATTGAATGGGCGGAGAGAGAACAGTGAGGCAAAGAGAAATGCAGTCTCTGTCCCCATGCCGTGCTCAGTCCAGTTGAGGAGGACAGGTAGACAGGAAGTTACAGCCTGCCGATGCTATGAGAGGCATTTGCCTTTAACTGTTGTCACAGATGTGGACAGTTTATAGAAAGTTTACAAGAGGAAAACATATGTGTAAAACACTTCTGTTTGTTAACTTATTTTCTATAATTTTGGAAAAGGGTCCTCTCTTTGGTGTGTTGAATACCAGAGTTCTATAAAACCATAGAGAGGGAACCACTGGCCTAAAATAAAGAGATAGTAACAGGAAGCCGGAAGTCTCTATGGCATCTATAAAGACACAGCCTGGGAGAAAGATGTGTCCCCCTGGTCTAGCACTGGTTGAGGGAGGAAGCTTGACATCCGCTGAAGAGGTGCTCGACCCCACCGTCCCTCCCATGCCTTCTCACAGCTCATCTGCTCTCCCTGCTCTTCTGCTGCATTTCCAGGGACTGCTGAGAAATCAGCGTCTTGTGAGTCTGGTTAGAAAGTGTCAAGTCCTGCAGCTCTAGTGGATCAACTTGAAAGAACCAATTGGGTTCAGGAGCCTACAAAGCTGACGTAAGGCCCAGTGACCACATGAAGGCACTTGTTTAGCAGGACAGTAGCCCACTGCCCTGGCATCTCATGGGCTGCAGCACTTCATACTGGAGATGCTGCCTCCCAGAGGCTCAGGGACAGTGATCTGGAGGGAAGGGCCTTGGCTGTCTATACGGAGCAAGTAGTAATGAAAATTATGCAGGAAGGCCTTAAGCCCCTGAACTCTCATCTTGAATCTGCCGTTTAATCACCCCCTTCTTTCCTGGGGAACTCTACTTTTCCTGTAGCCCAATACACATATTGCAAAATGACACTTCTATGTGTAACATCTGTCCCTTTTTTATTTTGGTGCAACTGGGAAGTACAGGAAATAACAAGGGTGGGAACTTGAACTCTGGTCAGACTGGCCAACGTCATAGAGAGGCACTGGGGTTTGAGGTGTGTGTGTAGGTGGGCAGGGTTCACAAGAACAGAGAGCATTCCCCACCCTTGAACTCACAAGGCTGACGGGATGACTTGCACACAAGAGCGCTCAGCTGTAACTGCCACCCGCAGACACTACGCAGGAGGTGGGTGGGGCTGGTGGGAACAGGACCTTGTGTTCCTAGCTGTGGTGCTGGGGATGGGAACCTAGGAGGCTCTGCACAATCAAGCCCCAAGCTTTAAGATCTCTCAGAACAAAGAAGGGAAGGAAAGAGGGAAGAGTGCTGAGAACAGAGTGTGTTCTCTGGGTGGGAGCCGGAGGCCCAGCCGTCCTTCCCGTGGAAACTCGCTCAACAGAAGCTCAAGGCCTGATTCCTCGTGGTCTTCAGGGCTGAGCGGCTGCATCTTTCTCTGGCTGCCATCGTTTGATCACTACAGCTTCTTCATCTAAGGTTCAGAAGTGCTTGTCTTATGCAGCCTCATAACGTTACCGCTGCTTTCGGGACTGGACACATGGAAGTTCAACCATTCTTGATGGTTTTAAAAAAAGCCGTGTGAACTCTCTTCAGCTTTCCAAAAAGAAGAAACGGCTTTTTCAGAGAGATGATTTTCCATACCTGCAGGCATTTCCACATCATCATAGTCACATTCAGGCTCGATGTAGCTCGGGATGGAAACCGTTTCCTTATTTCTAATTTTATTTACCAATGAGTATGTTGCTGGCGGCGCACTTGGGGTTTCTTGTGGGGCTAGAATATACAAAAAGGTTTTTAGACGCAAAGCTCTTGTGTATGCATATATTTTTGACCATGTGGCTCAGCATGGCTTTCATGGGTTTCAGTGACCTGTCTATTTCCTGGTGAACCAGATCCTCATTTTATAAAGGAAACAGAAGCACAGACACGACAGAGTCTCAGGGTCACCCAAGTAAGCAAATGGCCCATATTTGTCAGCCACCTTGACTACCATGTCCCTCTGCCGAAGACTGCGCTGTGGCGGGAACCATGAAACAGAAACTTTGACCAGAAATGGGCCAGAGCTAGTAGCCAAGTGAGTAATGTTGTGTCTACAGATCCTTATTCTCATAAGGAAGTGATACAAACCACATTTCCATTTTGGCATATGCCTCACAATGACTTGCACTGTTTTCCAGAACTATCACTAATTGCTCATGTGTGAATCTCTCTTCTAAGGAAGAAGGGGACTGTGGTGTTTTCAAGTGGTGCAATTAGTGGATAATGGGTACATAGCAAAAGGACTAGCATGGCTAGGGGAGGGATGACAGAACAGCTCAGCTCCACTTTTCACGGGGATGGGAACTGCCTGTACCACAATCTCATCTCTTCCTAAGAGAACCCCCAAAACTGCCACCACTCTGTTTTCTGCAGAACTAGGCAGCTAGACAGATCCGAGTTCACGTTCAGGCTCCAGCAGTCACATGCTATGTGACCATGAGTAAGTCACTTAAACTCTCTGTGCCTAAGTGTCTGCACCTGTCCCAGGGTAATAATAATGTACCTGCCTCATAGAGTTGTTGAAATGGTGAAATGAGATAATGCCTGTAAAATGCCGAGCACAGGGCCCAACACACAGTGCGTGCTCAATAAATGTAAGCTAATATTACTACTTATCTGCTCGATCAAAACATTTTTATTAATTATCTGCTAAGCTTCAGGCACTATTCTAAGTGGTGGGTGAGCAGTGGTGACCAAGACAAGAAAGGCTCCTATTTCCTAGAGTTTATATTCTAGTGGAAGAGATTGATAAACAGATGAAGAGTAACTAAATAAGACAATTCTGGTAATTCCTCTAAGTTTCATAAAGAAAATTAGTGGGACTGCTCCAGATGGAGTGGTTAGGAAAGGCCTCTTTGGGATGGCGACATCTGAACTGACACCTGGAGGAGGAGGCAGAGCCAGCTCTGAGAAGGGCTTAAGGAACAACATTCCTGTCAAGGGAACCAGGCAGATACAAATGTGAGAGGCCCTTCCCCTGGCCAGTGTGGCTCATTTGGTTGGGCCTCATCCTGCAAACCAAAGAGTCACAGGTTCAATTCCCAGTCAGGGCACATGCCTGGGTTGTGGGTTCAATGTCCAGTTGGGGCACATGCAGGAGGCAGCTGATCAATATTTCTCTCTCACATTGATGTTTCTCTCCCTCCCTTCCTCCCTCCCTTCCTCTCTCCCTAGAATCAGTAAAAGAAAAACAATTAAAAAAAAAAAAAAAAAGAAGTGTGAGAGGCCCAGTGACAACCCAAAGTTCCTTTTTACTAGTATTCCAAGCCAGGATTTGAATATGAACTTAGAAAGCAAACATTGGGAGCATTGATACTTATTTTAACCCTTTTAAACTCGTTTAGTCAGATTGCTGCTATCTGCACATCCTTGTGTTATAGACGGAATGTGTCCACAAAATGTGTATGTGGAAGCCCTAACCCCCAGAGTGGCTGTATTTAGAGATGGGGCCTCTAAGGAAGTAACGGATGTTAAATGAGGCCATAAAGCTACAGCCCTGGTCCACTAGGATTAGTGCCCTTATAAAAAAGAGACACCAGAGAGCTCTCCCCACCGTGTGAGCACACAGCAAGAAGGCCGCCATCTGCAAGCCAGGAAGACAGTCCTCACCAGAAGCCAAATCAGCTGGCACCCTGGTCTTGGATTTCTAGCCTCCAGAGCTGCCAGAAAATAAATTTCTGTTCTTCAAGCCACCCTGTGTATAATAGCTTGTTATACGCAGCTGAGCCAACTAAGACACCTCGATAAATTTGTTATCCTACCCTGAATAAGACTGTTATCAGAAAAATATACTTACAGGCATCTTGTTGAGAAAGAAAATCCCTGGGTGGCAGAGGAGGTAATTGAACTGATGATTGATCAGTAACATTCCTGGAGAGAAAGAAAAGGAGTTGGTGTTTGCTTTTGACCATGCTCCCTGTCAGTGGATTTAAAGGAAAGCATCAAAGAAAGTGGGCAGGGTTAAGAGTCAAAACTTGGTCCCTAAAACTTGGCGGAATTACCTTCCTTTTCTAGGGTTCGTATCCCATTTGTAACTGGTACTCTCAAGAAATCACTTCCTCTAGCTCAGAGAGCACCTGGACTTGAGGGAAGGGCATTGAGGCGCTGTCACTAAGAGCACAGAGCGCGCCCCCTGGGCTGGTGAGGACGGGGAGGTAAGCACCAGCTGTATTTTGACTTGCAACACTGATATACCCCTAGAGCTAACTGTACACACACCATGTGACAGCAATTCCACTACTAGGTACATACCCTATCATAATGCTCGCATATGCTCACCAAAAGACATGTCCTAGAATGTTTTCATAGCAACGCTAATCATAACGTCCCCAAACTGGTCACTACCCAAATGCCCGTCAGCGGTAGAACGGATAAATTCAGTGCAGTGCAATACTCTATGGCAGTGAGAATGAACAACCTACAGCCACACCCAGTGAATCTCACAAAAGTGCCAAGCAAGAGAAGCCAAACACCAAATAATACCTACTGTGTAACTCCATTTATATGAAGCATAAAAACAAGAAAATCCTTGGGGTAGGGTGACTGAAAGGGAATATAAGATATCGAGGTGCTGGTAATTTTGTTTTTTGATCTGGGTGTTAGCTACCTGGGTCAATTTAATTTGTAGAAATTCATTGAGTTGTACTCTTACCATGTGTGCTTTTCTGTATTCATACTATATTTTGCTAAGAAGTTTCAAGAAAGAGATAGACTCCAAGCAGGCCTTCGTACCTAGCCCCCCATTCCCCTCGGTGTACTCTGATTTTCAAACTGGTACTAGATTCTCATGAGTTGTGGTCTCATTTATGTGGTTAATCCCCCGGGAAGGCATACACATTTTTAGGTTGTTGGGGTGAGTGGAGGAGGGGACATGTGGCAAGAGCTCCATCAGTGGCCTTTTTCTCCACTTGTGTGTGGCTCTCCCTAGGAGAGGAGGGAGATTTATCTGACTCCTAAATTTGGGAAAGTCCAGCTCCTCCCCCTTTCTCCTCCAGAGCAGAAAGGGTGTATTCTGCTCTGGTCTTTGCCATTCACAGAAAAGGGCTGCCCAGCGGTGGAGACCTGAGATTCTCCAGAGCTGCCTGTACAGGAAAGCTCACCGGGTTTTGAATTAGGAAACGCACTTGCCCACAGAGAAGCGCCACATTCTGCAATGCTGGTTTTGTTCTCAATAAAGGCAATATTTAGGTTACCCAACTGCATCACACGTTTGTCTTACTCCTCAGTGGATCAGAATTGGTGGGGAAGAGGCCTATTATTTTGCCGGATTCCTTGAGCCCTAACAAAAATCATTTTAGAAAAGCATAGATTTTGTTTCAGATGATGTGTACATTCCAACTTAAGGACTGGCTCTTGACCAGCTCCTGGGAGATAACCTCTAAGCTCCTGGAATATGCTGCTTGATAAGTATGACTTTGTGTACTCAGGGCCTTGGGCCAGCCAGATAGTTTATGCTAACAAGGTGGCTGATGGTGAATGGCTGCTTGTGTTTGCCTAGGCCCATGGGTCACGCTGTATCAGTGTGGCTTCTGGAGGAGCTGGAGGCTGAGCAGCTAAAATGGACATGTGGCCATGCAGGCGCTCCATGCCTATGTGACTGATCCCCAATAAAAACCCTAGCAATCAAGGCTCAGGCGAGCTTCCCTGGTGGGCACATGCTGTCACCATTCGTGCTGCGAGAAGGAAGCGCAGCCTATGTGATTTCGCTGGGAGAGGACACCTGGACGCTTGCACCTGGTTTCTCCTGGACTCCACACTATGGGCCTTTTTCCTTTGCGGATCTTAGCCTGTATCCTTTCACTGTAATAGCCCATAACCATAAATGTAACAACTTTTCTGTGTCCTGTGAGCCCTTTAGTAAACCACCCAGCCTAAGGGCGGTTTTGGGGACGCCCAACACAGACAGCAATCAAAAAGCCCCGAAGATATCATAAAATACAAAAGTAAAGTAGATGTATTATCTTTGTTCAGCACAATAGCTTTCAGAGGACTATACTTCTAACCCATTTGAAGAAAAGAAGGGCTGAACTCACCCTGAGTGGTAGACCCAGAACACAGAGCCCGACCTGTTATATACATCAAAGTAGATGACGTGAGGGACACTTGGAAAGCAGAGAGAGACAGATGGTGCCCTGCACCCCTAAAGCCTGAGACCTTTTCCCTTAAAGTGGGGAGAATTGACAGACATGACATTTCACTGGCGGCCAAAGAAAAGTAGGCGTTGAATGTACTCGCACAGCAGCATAGGCCCAAGAGTGGAAGTGAACAGGCGGTTCTCCAAATTAAAAAGCAGAAGGGTTTTCCCCACTTACTCATACATCATTTCTTCATCTTTTTGCTTCTGTTTCATGGGCTTTGCAATTTCCAATTTATTGCCTAAGGAAAAAAATATATTGACTTAAGAAGGACAAAACTTGTGATTTTAGAGTTTAAAAATCATCAGAAACCACATGGGTTCAGGATTTTTAGAAGAACCACAAAGAAAAAGCAGATTTAGGGACACAGAGCCAAACACTGGTAGAGCTTGAATCTAACCCAGGCTGTCTGAGCCTTTTGCTAATCCGATGAAGGCAGGAGCCTGTGGGCTCTGTTCGTTTCTTCACTGCCTAGTACGATGCACGTAGTTGGCCTTCAGAAATATTGGTCAGATGAATAAGCAAAAGTGTGTTTGGGGGGAAATGAGATAAAGGATGGGAAAAGCAGTTTGTAAATTATGATGTGCTGGGCATATAAGTTAGTAATTATAAACTGCTTGTTAATAAGAGTTGGTCAAGATAAAAGAATAGGTAACGTTTTTGTTCAGGGTTAGACTTTTGTCTGTGTCTGAGAATAGGACACTTTAAGAAAGCAAATGGATAGGGGTCAAAATACACATTTTATATTTAAAAAAAACTAACTACCATCAAGGGCTAGAGAGGAAAGAATATTAAACAGGGGGCTCTGTGGACCTGAGTTCTCCCAACTCTGCCACCAAGCGCTACCAGGCCTTAACCAAGGCTTTACCTTCTGCTGCATCTTCAGTTTCTTATCTCTGAACAGAGACTGAGAAGAATGACGGTGAGAGTTCCCGTCTGGTGCAGCCCTGGCACGCTGGCACTGGGCCAGCCGGACGCAGAGGCTGTGTCCCGATGCAGCCGGAGCACAGTGCCTCGGCCATGGAGGGTGTTCCCCGGGGGCCATGGGAAACGGCTCTCACTCTCCGTGTATTCACCACCCCCGGCTGTACTCCAGGTTTAGGTCATGATGTAAAGGGATAAGATCTCAAGAAAACACACCCCTGAATCAAGGATGTCATGTTTCTAGAGAGGAATAGCAAAATGGAACACCCTGTTGTAGGTGATTCAAAGTTGATGTTAATCCCCAGCTTATTCATGTCTGCTTATTCATGTCTGAAGGTGCCAAGAATCTCTGGCCAAGACGGATAATACCAGAATTCAGAGTATGATCATAGAGGAGATGATCATGGTAGACAAACGGGTTGATCATAGATTGAGTCTATTCTTCATGCCTCAAGACAATTTTAAAAGCCACTTACTGACGTATGATTGGCATATAAAAAGCTGTACACATTTAATGTATACTGCTTGATGGGTTTGGAACCAAGACAGCTTTTGACGGTACATAGACTTGTGCTCTATTTCACGTCTCAGAGATAAGATGCTGTGATCAGCAGCCACAATAAAGAGAGAAAGCACCGGAGCACAGTGCACCTTAAAAGAGATTCTGCCTTCACCCAAACCCTTCCGGCTACAAGACCTCTTGGATGTCAGTTAACCTCCCTTCCTTCACTATGCAGATGGGGAAACTGAGGATCAGGGATAAAAGTTAGTGGCAGGGCTCGGACTGAAACCCAGAATACATGATGCTTAATCCAAAGTTCAGCCCATACAGGCCCAGAGCTAATCTTCTTGCTCTAAAGGAGCCCTAATGCACTGCTAACCAGCCCTCCACCTGCCCAGGTGAGATGCCATTACCTTGTCTGAACAGCCGCCTACAGACACAGTACAGTATGAGGCCCAGGGCCACAGAGACTATGATGATGGCCACAGCTAAGATGATCCAGAAATTGTCCTTCCACCAGTTCATCACAGGGGGTTCCTGAGGAGAGCAGAGATAGGGGGATGAGGCATGAGTGTGAGGCATCCTGGGGTGGCAGGGTGGTTGCCTTCCATGTTGTATGAGGCTCCATCTGCTTAGGGATCAGGTGGGCACTGGTTCGTGGCCAAACCCTGCCAATTAGCAGCTGGGAGGCCACAGGCAAGCCACTTAACCTTCTCTCAGCCTCAGTGTCCTTGTCTGCAATATGGGAGTGATACCGCCTATGGCTTCACAGGGGATTTGTGAGGATTAGAATACACTAGGGATGGACTGGGTACTCTAGAAATGACAGATGTAATCACTGCTCTTTTTTATATTGCCAGACATGCAGGAGGAGGGGAAATGCCATTGAAAGCAATAACTGATTGCAGTTGTTTTTATATCGAAGAGGCAACATAGGCTTAATTAGTAATGCAGAGACAGAATTTTGAGAGTTTTTTTGAGGTAGGGGCTAGAAAAATACCTTGATGGGTGTTTTTGAGTGAGACATGGTCAGAAGGGGGAAGGTGAAGAAGCAAAGCACACTGAGTTAGTCTGCACAAGAAAAGTAACAGGAATTTGGGGGCTGAGGGTGGGCTGACTAGAGAGAAGGAAAGTCTGGGAAAAGGTAGTAGCAGAGGGCAAGGCCAAGAAGAGAGTATGTGTTAAACGTTCTCCCACAAAAAGCAATTGTAATTATGTGATGTGATGGAGGCGTTAGCTAGTGCAATGGTGGTAAAAGTTGTACAATACATAACTATCAAATCGACACTATACAGCTTAAACTTACAGTGTTATATGTCAACTATACGTAAATAAAGTTGGAAGGGAGGAAAAAAATAAAGAAGATAGCAGAAAGTTGGAGCACTATTAGAAAGATTCTGCAGTGGAAAGTGACCAGTGCCTTTGTAGGACAGTTGTGTCTAATATTCACTCAAATTGTTTTAATCTTCTGTCAGCATCAAATCTTTGATTAAATCGCACAACAACAGCTTATGTGAACAGAATCTGGAGAAAAATGACATGTATGCAGTGGTTTTCCAAGCCAGGGGTGGCTGAGGGACAAGCAGAGAGAAGAGCAGCTACCAGGCTCCAAGTGGCAGTGGGGAGCAGGCTGCAGGAATTCAGGGGGACCCCGGGGAGGGGCTGGGCTCCCCTCACCCGTGGAATGGGTGCTCTGCCAATTCCCTTGGACATTAAAGTAAAAACGATCCTTGAGGCCTGGGACAGATCCTGGAATGCCCTGGTGATGTGAGAATCAGAGCCCTGTGTCACTATTTAGCCCATGCGTGTTGATGTAGCGCGATTTCTGATCCATGCTTTGGAGTAATATTAACACTATTACTCCCTGGAGTCAACAGGGACCCAGGCAGGTGGCAGAGGAACAGGGGCAAAATTAGGCTGCTGCTAAGGCCATTATTACTACAAAGACCTCCTAACTTGACTTGCCATTTACAAGTGAGCATTACTGGCACAGTGTCTTTATTTATTAAGTTATTATTATATTACAATTCGGATTTTCAGTTCCAATTTTGTTTCCTTAGCGAAGGTTTGGCTTAATCAAATATAATGCTCTTTGTCTATTAATAAAGTTATGTGTAGCAAAACCAACCATGTATAACCAGCACTTTCTATACTCGTCATTCTGCAGCTTCCTTTTTTGTTCAACATTGTTTTTGTTGTTTACCCATGCTGGAAAATGTGCTGAGGGTTTATTTAAAGAGAGCAAAGTGTCAGCGACCAGGGACCGGGGGTATCTCACTCCCCAGGCAGGTGCTAGGCAGAGTTTTTGTTGTAGACCACCCTTTCGGGATGCACAAAGAAAAGTAATGGGAGGAAGAAGAACAAAGAGAAAAGGAAACGGTGGAGAGGAGAGACTTGGCTTTCAATGGGGAATATGAAAGTGGGTTTTGCAGGGCCCCATGAGGCGGAAGGGCACTGGCCTTAAGAACCCACCACATAGCAGGGGGCAGCCTCTTTGTTCAACATACCTGAATAGGAATCGCACCATTTTGAACATGTCCTTTTAATTCCTAGTTAAAAAAATTTTTTTGGACTCACACCTTCTTAGCTCTGGTGAACTAGATAGACAGACAGGTAGATGGATAGACAGATAGATAAACAGAATTTCTTCCCGTCATTTTCTCCTCTTTTCTCTTATTCGAATATGTGTCTCTTTATCTAATGTTCCTCTCCTATTTTATATCCCTTTGTCTTTCTGTCTTAATCTGGAAGGATTTCTCCACAAAGAACTATCAACATCCTCTTTAGATCTATAGAAGTAAATACCGGGACACAAGAGTTAAAGCCGTTGCATCTGAGGAACATGTCTGGGTGGAAGCAGGGAAGTGGGGAGACAGTGGGCTGCTGTAACTTTCCACCATAAAACTTCTGGATTACTTGATATTTTTTAACTGTTTGCATTTAGCTTGATAAATTTTAAAAAGCATCAATCAACCATATATTGTGTAACTTCTGTGAAAAGCCATAGCTCAGATTTCAAGTTCAAAGAAATTCCATCAGAAAGTGAAACTATGAGTCACTTTTCAGAATGATGCGGAGTGACAAATATTTTGTCGATGTATTCTTACAGACTGAGTGGATCTGATTTTCCATCAGATGTTTCGAGCGTGTTCAGTGCACCAAGCAGTCCCACAAGGGCTTTCTCATCTCTCTCCTCAGCTCATCCGCAACACCGCACTCCTTTCCACCACAGCAGAGCTGAAACTGAAGTCAAATGACTTGCCCGAGGTCACCCAGGTGAGAAGGAAAGAAGATGCTTTCCTGTTACAGAGCCTTCCTCCATTATTAGTCATCATGCTCCCAAGTCATCAATGAAAAGCCAAACGAGATGCAGGGCACCTTCAAAAGTAGCATCACATCACTTCTTGGCCTTTTGGCTAAAATCAAGTGCACAAGGAGCCTCATGGTGGTACTGGCATGTGCTATGGGGGGGCCACGGGGTTCCCCAGAAGGAATGATCAGGGCCTACAGTTGAGAATAAGCATCTCAAGTTCCCCCCATTCTAAGATCAGAGAAACGGCCCTCTTCCCTATGGACCACTGAGAAAGATCTTTCGACAGAACCAAGCAGAGCTTGTCTTTTTTGGGAGAGTGCAGCTGAGAGAGGAAGCCCAAAGGGAATCACATCCCATTCCCAGTGGCATGTCCTCTGGGCCACCAGGACAGTTTAACTGCCAGGTGCCACCAGAGAGATGAGAGGAGCTCTGGGGAGTGATGGCAGGGAGTCTGGCCAGCGGGCAGTGGGCAGTGGCTGCGTGGTCAAGTCCAGGCCCTGGAAAATGTGCAAGCTGAATCCCACCGGTGTGAGCAGACCTGGAGTAGGTAGAGCTGTGCGGTGCAGGATGGCTGAGAGCTACTGAAACGTGGGGCAAAGAAGTGTTCGCATGAGAGGATGCTGGCAGTCAGCTCAGCGATGCAGCTGGGTCTCTCAACGGTCCACAAGGAAGTTCTCAGGGGCCAAGGGCCAGAGTCTTCGCTCAACACCGCAATCCTGCTCAGCGGGAATGGCCCACAGATGGGAGATTTCCTGTGGAGAGGTGCTTGTCCTGGTCTTTCCTCCTCTATCCAATACGAAAGAAAAAGATGCAGGTGAGGGGTGCTGAGGGAGCTGAGGCAGCCCCACCCTCTTAGCCACTCCCTGCACTGGGGCAAAGGGGAGAGAGGGTTTTGAGCCAAAGAAGGAAGTTTTCAAAAAAGCACAAGTGCCCTGGCTGGTGTGGCTCAGTTGGTTGGGGTATTGTCCCATAACCAAAGGGTCACAGGTTCGATTCCCTGTCAGGACACATGCCTGGGTTGCAGGTTCTGTCCCCAGTCCAGGCATGTACAAGAGGCAACCAATCGATGCCTCTCTCTGACATTGATGTTTCTCTTTCTCCTTTCCTCTCTCCCTATAGAGCGATGAAAAAATGCCCTCGAGTGAGGATAGAAAAAATAAAGCACAACTGAGTTTTTAAAGCTAAAATGAGTCTACTTAGTAACCAAAAGTAACTTAAAAATTTTGGAATTGGACTAAAGTGTCACTGAGGGAGACCGCTCCCTATCAGAACAAGGTGGGAGCCCAGGCAGCAGCAGTTGGAAACAAATCATATTTGCTTCTGATGGCCGCTCTAACAAATACCACCAACACAGTTCCTTAAAACAACGCAAACATATTATCTTACAGTTATGAAGGTCAAAGGTCCAACATGATGTTACTGGACTAAAATCACAGTGTGGCAGGGCCGTGAACCCTACCGGAGGCTCAGCTAGAGAAGCCGCTTTCTTGTCCTTTTCAGCTTCCAGAGCCCACTCATGTTCCTTCGCTCCTGGCCCCGTCCTCTGTCTGCAAAGCCAGTGGTGTTGCATCCCTCTGACACGAGAAGGTTCTCCAGGCTGGACTCAGACTCAGACTCAGAGATAAGTCTGGCTCATAGGACCAGAGTGGGGCGCACTGCCCAGAACAGACCAGAGAGGGTAAAATCCAATGTGAGGAATGGCTGGTCCAACTCTGAACCCTAGGTCAGCGAGTGCCAGAGCACAGCGTGGGCACGGTGGGTGAAGGACTGAGTCCCCACGTACAGGTGTGGGGGTCAAGCTGTCAGGAGGAGGTCAGAGAGCTGCAAGCCTTCACTTTGGTTTCTGTCAACTGGGGAGCATTTGGCGGACACCATGAGTGGAAAGAGGAGGAGGAGGAGGAACTATGGGAGCACATTTTTGTTATTATCAGGCTCCTTGAGTGTGTTAGGCCCTGGGCCAAGAGCCTGAAGGACAGCCTAAGTTCCCATCCCCATCTGAACCTCAGAATTGCCTGGGGAGCTTGAAAAACAGCAGCAGAGACTCTAATTAAATTATTTTGGGCTGTGACCTGGCCACTGAGATATTGTTTGTTTTAATAAAATTCTCCAATGGATTCTAATAAGAGGCTAAGGTTGAAAACCATTAGCATACATGTTATCACTTAATCTTTATTATAACCTTGTTATATACCAGGGGACTATGATTACCCTCATTTTATAGATG